ATAAGATAAGGGTTCTCCCTTATCACTTAAAGGGACTTCTAATCCAAATATAATTTGGATCAGCAACTCTTAATAGGATTAGGAACTGATCCCTTTAAATCTATAAAAGGAAGAGGGGGCGGCAGCCTTTAGACATGCTACCTAAGACTCTTGTCTTCAGAGCTGAAAGCACAGAATAAAGATTTCTGCAACCTCTGCAAAATCTCTCTTGCCGCCTCCTTCCTGCCGCCGCCATTACCTTTAGTTCGATCTCCAGTTTTTGGGAGAAATCAAGATCTGATCTTGATGTCAATCTTTTGGGAAAAGATTGATTGGAACTGTACTCACAAGTCATCCAGTTGATTCTTGCAAAGGGACAAGTTCTTTTGAAGAACATTGTTGATTCTACTCCATCCTGCACTGCGCCATCTTCAGTGAGAGCAGTCTTTGGATCCTTCCTTGGGCGTGAACACCTCCATTGGGAGATACTAATTCTCCGTATCAGGTACATCCTCCCTCCTACTCCTTTTAGTTCAGATCTGGTTTGGTTCATGATTCAAGATTGATCATTGAAAAATATGTTTTTCTAAAATAGGGAATTCGATTCCCTGCAAAGATGGGAGAAAATTTTTTGAAATTCGCTCAGCCCATTCCGCAAGACTTGGGCGTCCATGTGATGGATATCCCATCATTTCAATACAATCTTATAGTTTCTTTATTATTATAACATCATAGATTGATCCATTGAACCGGGGGCAATTGATCAGTAATCCATTTGTGATTCGCCCAGATGAAAAAAAACACCCGGTTCATCTCCATATTAGTTTTTAAAATATCGATTAGACCGCTATTTGGGTTAGAAAATCTTCTACCAAAAGAAAAGTTAGAATCAATTGAAACTTTTTCTTCTTCTTCTTTCTAAAATCCATTTGATAGGTTTCATTCCTTGTGCCATATTTAGCATTAGAATATTTATGTCTTAGAATGGCATTTGGTATATCCGGTAGCCTCATAATAGCTGGTTGTTATCGCCTTCATCTCGTAGACCTTGCTCTTGGTAGCACGATTTATGTGAAAAATGTTCCATTTTTTGTTGGGGGAACTTTAAAGCAAAGTAGGGTTTCGTAGAGTCTCGGTTAGGTTAAACTTCTCAAACAAA